AAGATTCTCTCGTACAAAAGAAGTTTGCGATGCATTAGTTTTATTCATGGAAGCCATCTGTCGCGTCCAAGTGCTTAGGATTTTAACCATCTTTAGATGATTATCAGTAAGAGTGTCATTGATCGTCATCCTTTGCTTTTCAAATCTACCTAATAGTGCTGAATCAGTTGTTGCTAATTTTTTTTCATCAAGAACTAAAATACATCTAAAGTTCTTATGAACATATCTTTGTAAAATAAAAAAATGTTAGATATTTTTATTAGTTTTTCATTGAAAATATACATATATTCACATAGTAACTTACAACATAGGATTTGCATATTCTCCAAGTGAAACACGAACGTAATATTTGGGATCATTTTTACTTCCAAATACAATATAATTCTGGTTCCATAAATCATAAAGAGCGCCTTAATGGATGAAGTTATAACAAGTTCATAAAAATTAGTAAAATAATCAAATATATAATTTAAACAACAAACATAGATAAAGTAAATACCGTAAATAATCTCTATGTCTGTCAAGATAAGAGGTCTTCCTGATTCAACACACACCTAACGATAAAACAATTTATATTTAGGAACATAAAATAATTTAGTACGCAAAAAGTTAATAATTCTACTTAAAACGCTATAAGAATAGTCTTGTTGGTCATCTTGAAATTGTGATCCCAAAATAACCACGGGATCCAATCCTTTCTCTATTAGCTGACATGTCAAAATAGTCACTATAGAATCACTTTTTCCAATAATCATAAGGTGTCTTGCACTCTCATCATCCAAATTAGCTTTAACCAAAGTTAAAATTGGACTTAGATTATATGTGTAATCTTGATAATTATTAAATGTTTTTAACACAGTTTCGAAATATTCTTTACAAGGATTCTCATTTCGATCAGAGCCACTAAAATTTCTTTCCAATGCCATTTGAACATTTTCAGGTGTAAAATCAGACTTCGATAAACTTTTTACTAATCCATAGTAATCTCGAAGACCGTGGAAATCATAATGTGATTGACCACATTCTTCATATTCTACATAGGCTTTTGCAAGTGATCGAAGTGAGGCACGTGATATGGAGGTATGTAATTTGGAGTCAAGTAAACGAACTGCTATATCGACGAGATCTTCAATACCAAATTTAGGCCTAAATAATTTGAATCATAGTAATTTAGATGCCTAAAATGTAATTATATAAAATTAAAATAAGCTAACCTTTGAACTAATAAAGCTCTGCTGCTTTTACTGATATCTAATCTCCAATTGCTAATACCAACGAAAGAAACTGCTGACCATCAGACGGATAATTTGGTTCGAGTAATGTATGAAGTACTTTAAGTGGATTGTGTGGACTAGTTTCAGCTAATTCGACTACATAAAGCAAATTATTAGATAAAAGCTAGTAAATAAACGAAAATAATTTTAACATTACATTAACTCACTTCCATCAAATACAACAACACTGATCACGGGAAATTCTACTGAACTGGATTCTTGGTAATTAATAGCTTGGTCAAAAACTTTAATGATACCGTCCGAAGTGGAAGATGATGACCCTTGGTGGGAAATAAAGTATACCTGTTTTTAAATTAAAATCATTAAATTTTAAATATTATCGATGACCACAAAAAAAAAATTTATGATTTTAACCTGAGGAAATATTCTGAAATATATATCACTTGAATCAGATCCACGCAGATTTTGTCCTATAAGTTTAATTGCTAAAGATTTTGATGATCTGATAAACAAAGTTTGTAGTTACGCATGAAATTTAGTTAGAACGACTCAATTGTAATGACATGCGAAAAGACCAATCTTACCCAGTTGCACCAATAATAAACACAGGAATTTTGGTAAGAATACAAACAACCATCACTAAAACATTTTCTAATAATGCCTCATTCATCACAGTATTTGGTGGCAACTCCATTCTTTTAACCCAATCATCTTGTTCATCTCGAATCACACTAGTAAAGTCACTCTCTTTAATATTCATTTTGTGCCTTTGGAATACTTTAATTATTTCTTGCCGATATTCACTTCGTGATTCTTGATCATATATTCTAGATTGATAACAAAGGCCAAGTGCTAAAATATAACAACGGATTTGAAGACTAATACGGCTTGAACCATCAGGAGATGGATAGTGTTTATTTCCTCTCAAGTATCCCGAACTTGAACGCGCTCGAAGACATACTCCAAAAAATGAAACTAATTTAATTGCTCGTTTTACATCACGCAAACTAACGCTATAGTTTTCTTCAATTAAACGAATAAACTGCTGTGATGTAAACAAGAGCTCTGTAAATAATTCGTGTCCTTCTCCAAATCGTGTTTGCACCATAACTTGTATATATCTTTTTTCATCATTTGGAAAGAGAACGCCATAATCCCAAACATAATCTAATATTTGATCCGGAAGCGGTTTTACTTGATATACAAGATTACTTAGTTCTTCATATCTTCTAGCCCTAGTTTTTATTCCAGCCTGACTTTGAACTTTGATCCGTTTACGATAAGGGTTACATGCCTTATTAAAATAAATAAATAATAAATAAATTAGAAATATTATTAATAAAAGGTACATTAATTTTAACTTGGTTATTACCGAAAAAAGTCTGATATTAGGATGTAATGAATTTCCATTAAAAGTGCGATGCGCGATTATATTCGCAAGTAATCCAATGTGATTACAGGTATTAATTTCGTCAAAGAATAACCATAACTCGCCGATATCGGCTTTTATCTGAGCTTTGTCCATGAAATCTAATATGTCTTGCTCCTTAATTCCTGCATGAAGATTGAATGGTTCGTAGTTAACCTCGACTACCTTGGCCAAGAATCCAATTAAACTCGACTAAGCATTATAAAATGATTATTAACGTTAAAGTTATTTATGTAAGCAAATGAAATAAGTAAATTATTACCTTGCCACAACCTGCTTCTCCCATAATGACAACAGGAACAGCAGCACGTGCCCTTAATAAGATTAATGCCATCTTTACTAAATTATCAACTGACAAAGCATACAATGGAAGATCTATTTTATGTGTTGTTCGGCGTGCTAAACATTCAAGCCTTTCTAATAACAATTTAGGTGAAATACAATTATAGTCTTCTAATTCCCATTTGTCCGGGTCGATCATGGACTGAATTTTAAGAAATTCTTTAACATTTTCTGGAACAGTTTTTTTTTCACGATATAAAGCACAAATTGAATCGGGATTTTGTGATCTGAAAAAGATAAAAATATGATCATATATGTCCCATTGAACTATTTTGGACTTCGAATTACGATCATCACATAATTCGGCATTTATTGATCTGAATGCAAACTTTTTAGAAACTTCAATTAACGATTCAAACAAAGTTGTTCTCAATAATGTTTCTTCATTAATCAACGATTTTAAATTTTCTACAGTAAGATAAGTGCTTGATGAAAGGCAAATAAGTTGATCTGCTAATACACTAGTAAATATTTCTATGTATCGGAATGAGGTAACACTGTCACTATTTCCTTCAAGAAAGTATTTAACTATTAAATCTTGACATCTTTTATCGGATAACGGTTTTGTTATAAAGCCTTGACCATGGAATATAATATCTCTCTCGTTAATTTCATGTTTTTCATGTGCATCTAAATAATTGCACACAATTTGAATTGGATCGCATATCTCAGAGGATACATTAAGATTACGAATACTCCATGATAAATGTTCTTTTATTAAATAACTGGCTATAGGAAGTGAGTTAAGAAGTTCCTGATTAACGGTTGTTGCCACTTCAATGAATATGGGAATTCGCGGAAGACTTATCATGTAAATATTATTAGAAACAAATCCTAGCGTTAATAGTTCAAATAAGAATAGATTGATTTCGTTCGGATTTTCAGCCGACATAATATTTATATGCAAACTTTCAGTTGGATGAATTTTGCGATCTTTAAGTTGGTAGATAAGACTTTCATAATTTGCACCATCACTGATCAAAAAATCATGTAAAATTTTCTTTTCCTTTAAATTAGCTTGTTTAATCCATTCAGTTTTGCCTTGCCCAGATAGCTCTGAAGATACACAAGTAACATTACTACACAAATCATGATAAATTGCTTTCATGGTTTCAGCGTTAAGGCCATTTGTTGAATGAACATCTTGTGAAAATTGGTCTAATATGTGATGATGGAACGAGCCCCCATGATAATAAACTAATGCCAATAAATAATCATTATATTTATCACACATTGATCGAATACTTTCTACTAGATCATATTGCAATTCAAATTCGAGTAGCTCTAAATTCGCAATAGAAAATAGTTTTTCTCTATATCCATTTTTTGCAGCAAAAAAGCTACGCTTAATAAAAATATTAAGCTCTTCAATAGTCGTAGATTTTGTACAAATTAAGATTTGTCACGGTTCAGGGTAGGAACTATTTATTATAATGTTCATATTAGTAAGAATATTAATGGTTCTGCAAAAATTTAAAACAACTAGTTTATAAATATGTACCAATGGTTAGCATACAAACTCATAATAATATTTGGTATACGTAATTTATCGTTACATGAGACAACACATAATTTACCCCTATTGACAACATCAGAAATAATACGTTCGCCTCTGATTTTAAGTTCATGTGATGTTTTTAATAAATTCCTAAATATAGTGCGTAACTTTTTACCAATTTCATTAAGCACACAAGAATAATCACTATCATTGCATGAAATGCCTGAACAATCTTCTCGAGAAGGTAATTCCGCTTTACTATTAACAAACTTTATAAGAGTTCTGCAGATCTCTGTGTTTTCTCTATCTTGCACACCAGATGTAAAATAGTCATAAAAGGCAAGAATGTAGCGCGCAGGGAAGAACGTCAGATAGTAATGTTCTTCTTGGGCTTTATCTACTACCATTTTCCTGAAAAATTTAAAGTCCAAAGAATTTCAATAACATAGTCAAATAAAAGGTTACATTAATATTTAATTGTATTACCAGTTTTGTAAGTCCGCTTTAAGCTTTGCCAATAAATCTCTCATATCAGTAGTTCCAAATCTTTCCTCAGTACCTATAATTTTTTTCTTAAATTGTCTATAACCAAAATGTCTCATCTGGATAAGTTTAGATCCAACATTAAGAATTTCTTGTGCTGTATCTACTTGCGATACAAATTCATTTATTATTTTTCTTAAATCTGTACTGATATTGGTTGGTTTTGCGATCAATTGAGCAAGTCCACGTAGATTTTGTAAGCCAGACATGTTATGTATTATTTTATTAATAGCTCCTCTAGCTTGATATACCAGTGTGATATTAAATTTATCGCTCCTGTCATCTTTTTCGAAAGTATAAGTTCCTCTCAATACGGCATTTTGTATCTTTTCTTTTGTCACTTTTTCTCTATTTGATATGTTCCTAAGCCTAAAGGAAAATAGCAAATGTGTTAGCATGTAAATGCATAGATTCATTGCTTATATGACAGTGTAACAGAAAATAAAATACCTGGTTTGTAAAGCCATATTAAAGTTAGCGCATATTATAATTTTATTGGGCAAAGAAGAATCTTGCTGACTAATTTTACGCAAAAGTTCCAAAAATTTATCAATTTTATTAGATCTATTCATTAATTGCACCACCAACTGTTTAACTTGAATGAATAATGACATAGTATCTTCTTGAATTAACCGTTCATCATAATAATCGTCTACACCATTAATTAAATTCTTAATATCATGTTCAGCTATGGCTTGAAGAAATTCTAAAAGTTCACTAGCAGATGATAATTCTTTAATCAATGACCAATAATTCTTCTCATTATCATCTGGATTATGATCCTTAACATATTCCATAAACTCAACAATCTTTCCTAAAATTAAAAAGTCTTCTCTTAAAAATTTCAAAGATCTTCCTAACCAGTCTTCGGTTTTAAGCGGCACTTTAAAAATCTCAACGATTGTAGATAATTTTTGAAGTCGTTCGTCCCATTTTGGTATAGCAGTAAGGTGTTTAAGAGCATTTTCTAGATCTTGTCTGTTACTTTTACTCAAATAAACCGCTCGATTAATTAAATCCAATTCGGTCTTTATATCAGTAACACCTTTCCATAAAGGGAATGCTTCGGAATATTTAATTTGCTCCCTTTGTACTTTTTGAATGTTTTAAGATGTTCTTCACGCACTGCAGGAATCAATGTATTGACAACATAATCAATCTGGATGTTATCAGTAATTCTCTTTAGTTTCATTTCATAAATATTTGTAAAAGTTTTTAAACTTGTAAATTCATATATTTCTGCTGCCTTCATAATGATATCTTCATGATTCTCTAAATACTGTGAAGGTAAAGATTCATGCTGTGACTGCGATAGTTTCTTCAATTTTTCCTCTGTATCATTGGAATAAAGGGTCGAGTCTAAAACTTTATTAGGAGGGCAAAAAGCGCTATAAAAAGCTTTAAATTGTTCTAGTTTCTTTTCAAATGTTTCCCTGGTAATTCATAGAATTGATTATATAAGATATCTTATATTAACTTTATAAACAAACAATATTCAATTTCACATACTTTCTTTTAATTTTAACATTGTATAATTGATTTCAAAAGTATTATTTAGTTGTAACTTTCTGTTTTATAAACGTCTGATTTTATATAAAAATGGTATCTATGTCAAAATCATGAAAATTAATTGACGCGTGCGTGATGTCGGGGTTCCAGCATTCAAACCCGCTTATGATTAGTAATCATTATAACTAATCATAGGCTGGGTTTGAATACTGGAACCCGAGATCACGCGACGCGGCAATCACTTTTTTCGGGATTTTGACATAGAGTCATAAAAATGTAGTACATACCGTCTACACAAATATAAAGAAGTGCTTAATGTACGCTTATATTAAAATATGATGACAATTTCTACTTACATCCTAGCAATTGAATATGCTAATTAATAATAAGCCAAGCTGAAACGATGACATTTATTGGATACAATGTACTTACATCCTAATATATTGATGTACAGTTGATTAGTATAGTTAACAAAATTAATAAGATGATTATGAAGAAATAGTATTAGGTTTCACCTGAGCTCATGCATAACTTGGTCAATTTTAGGACGCTTTCCCGGATCATCATGCCAGCATTCTTCAATAAA